TTCTTAGCTATTGGCCCTCAGAAGCGTCGCAACAGGGCACGGAGATAAGTGGGGCAAGCTGGGTTCCTGTGCGACCGGGGAGGGGGTGTGTGGCCAAGCAATGAATAAGTTTTAAGAGTGGAGAACAGGAAGCAAGGTGGTGCTATCTGCTTTATTTAAAATTCTGTGAGTGCAGTGGTGGCAAAGCAGGGCGCAGCCTCGTGGTGAAGCTTGGGAAAGGCTTTGAAGCGCACTGCTTTGATTTCCTCCCTTCTGCTTCTTCTTTGCTCCCTGTCTTCTGTGCATCGCTTTTCTCTCCTTTGGATGTTATGGGGCTAAGCTTATGTTGCACCCACAGAGTCCTCCTATTAATCTGAAGTGGTCACTAATGTGTGATTTAGGGGTGTTTGCATGCGCTGAACGTGGGAGGGGCAGTAGAGGGGCGGTGGCAGGAGAGGAGGAAGAGGCGGGGAAACTCCTCTGATCCGCTGAAACGCTCCTTAAGAGCAAACCATCCACATTACTGAAGGTATCAGCTGGGACCTGCCTACAGTTATGTCAAAGTGTGCTGCTAAGTGCCAACTCTCCCTTTGTGTTGTGACACTGAGAGCTGCCAAGAGACATCTAAAAGCCTGCATGAACTAGAAAAAAAAGTACATATATGTACATATGTTCCATAGTGTGGATGTATCATAGTTTAGTAATTCCCTTATTGATAGATGCGTAGATTACGGTCAGTTTTCTTGTTACATGCATCGCTGCACTGAATATCCTTGTCCGTGCTTCTTTGCGGACATCGGCAAGTATTTCCGTAGAATAGATATCTGGAATGGAATTATCGGGGTGATCGCTATGTAGCTATGAAATCTTAGTTGCCCTCACAGAAGATTTGCCGACTTACACTCTAATCAACAGAATATGACAGCACTCACCCCCCCACCCCCTTTCACTACTGGGTATTCTCCATCTTTTGCTGATACGATTGGTGAATAAAAAGGGGTCACATCTGAATTTGAATTTTTCTGATTACTCATGAATTTAAATATCTATATGTTTATTGAGCATTTAAATGTGTTTCTTCTCTGAGTTTTCTGTCTTTTGTTCATATTTCTGTTGAATTGTTTTATCGTTTTCTTACTGATTTGTATAAGGAATCAGTTAGGACACATAAATGATTTTGGAAGAAATACTTACATTCAAAGTAAATTGGCATTTTTCACAACAGTTTGTGTGTCATAGCATTAGTTCAACTTGTGTAGAAAAGTCATAAATGATTTCTGAATTAAAAATAAAACACATAACAGTTATAGTAATTTAAGAAAAGGGGGTTTAAGGCCACCTTAAAATAGTCTGAGAAATGCTAGAACCAGGCAGTTGTGTTTTTTTAATTTATGAATTTCTTAAATACCATATAGTTTATCTTTACCACAATAATATCTGACTTGTCGATTTTATTTCCCAAACTTGTAAGAAAAATGAAAGTTCCCTGGCACAAGAAATAAATAACACTTAATTTCTTGTGGGGGCTGGAGAAAGAGGAAGGCTGAGGTATAGGGGTGGGAGAAAAACTTTTGATTATTAACTATGTACCTTTTGAATTTTGAGCCATGTAGATATATATTACATACTTTTAAAAAATATCAAATTTAAAAATTAATTATTAAAGCATGAATTTAGAAGTTTTTACATTATAAATCAGCTTGAGATTTTTGCCTTGTGAGACAAAGGTTCTTAGCTTGTAATCTATGGATTCCTAAGGCAGAGTTTCTCAAAAGTATTTTGTTGGCATGTATCTCTTTGGTGATCTGCAGAAGCCTGTATTCTTGGGATAATGTTTTTAAATGCGTAAGATAAAACATGTAGGGAAACAAAGAAACTGATATTGAAATACAGTTTTCAAAATATTTTTTTAAAAAGATTAATGGCTCAATGCATTAAATAACAAGACATAGTGGTATGTCTAATAACTATTATATTTTCAGGTAGTGATGAGAATTAATGATATTTTGTGACATGTCAACAAATGTGTGACATGAAAATATCTGTGATTTCTACTGGGGAACAAATTAAGTGTAATGCTGATCTCCTGTAGTTTGTTGCATCCATTCATAATGGAAGAAAATGCTCATTTCAGTAGAGGTTTGTGAAAAGAGAGATGTAATTTTATTTTTCATCGAAGTTTGGCCTCCTGAATTCAACTCATTCCTCTCACAGACCTCTGCCCTAAGGGGATGATACACAAATGGAAATTGCCTTAACATCTTTGCATGTATTCAAGAATGTACAGTTTTTTGAGGGGAAAGGGATCCCTAGCTTTTATGAGATTCTCCAAGGCTTCTGTCTCGTAAAACAGTAAGAGCCAAAAAAATGTAGGGGAGAAGAAAGAAATTTCTTTTCCTGCAAAGCTGTACTTAGCCTCATGAGTGATAATACATGGATGCTTTGTTTTAAATAAAAGTAGTATATCTGAGAATTGATGTGCTGGAAACTGTTCTAGGTTCCTGGCATTCAGCAGATTAATGTATTTCATTCCAGTTGCTTATTTGATGTTGCTTTTTTGGAGTAATTTTTTGGTGACTGACTCATTTCTCAGTCTAAACTTTTCCTCTAGGTTAAATTTATTACTAATATTATTTAAAATTTTTACTATCCTGTCATCTAAACAACTTTTCATCCAAACTGAAAGAAAACCCACAAATTTTAAAAATTTTTAGTCACTCCCAGTCCTAGCATGATATTCAACTCTTCAACCAAACAGTCTGACATGGGCACAAGCCAGTCATAAAAGACATGGACCATAAACAGCTGAGGTTCAGCCCCCATCTTTCTCTGTCCTTACTGAATCCTTGTCACTGTTTATATTTTTTAAAGTTATAAAATGTATATACAAGTTTCATTTTTGTCTTGACTTTTATTAATCATCATTTCCTATGTCTTTTTTGTACAACATTCGTAGTATATCCATACGGTTTTGTTAAGTCATATAGGAAGATCGGGTTTTGTCCAACTTTTTATAGTTACAAAGAGGGTTACTATAAACATTGTTGGGCATGTTGATTTGTTTTTCCTTTTTGGATCATTTACATGAAAATAAGAAACCATTAGCTAACCGAGGTGAGAAGACAAATCAATCCCAACATCACCTGGTGTCCCCATCACACATTCTGACCATCACTGCTGTTCCTTCTAAAGTGATGAATTTCAAATTGAGGTCAGGGTCTTTGATGTATTCTCAGGGCCCCAAGAGTGCAACACCCTCTCCCCCAGCACGTTCCCAGTCTTTCCTGCAAGTCTAAGGGAAGCAAAAGCCAGAACAGTTCTTGGGTAGGCCCACGTGTCAGGCTCATCTGAGGATCATTCCTATCCTCTCCATTCTGCATTTTGTAGAAATCATTGGCTGTGTCTCTCTGTTTTCTCATTTATTCCTCAACTGTTCTTTCTGCTATTCATATACTGAGTTTTTTATTAACGATGAATTTTTTTTCATTTGTATAATCTTTAGTTGATTCTTTTTCATGGATGCACTATCGGCTTACAGCTGTCTGAGGATATTAATTCTGCTCGCCTAAAGTCCTCTGTGCTTTCTCTGTTAACTCTGATTCATTGACTTTAAGCTCTTAAGTTTGTTTGGGTTTGCTTTCTGTCCTTACTGGAGTTAGCTTTCTCACATTGTTTGGTCATTCCTGAGTACCACTTATCTTTGTAGTTGGAATTCTGCTGCTTACAGCTCTAGGGGAGAGGGTGGGATGTGGCTAGTAAGGGAGTGCACCCCTTACAGGGTCGGGGACCCTGTGCTTTTCTAACACCAGTTGCTCCTGCCTGGAGAAAGACACCCTTTGCTGCCTTGTCTGAGGAGGAAGGATATGGGGCTGATGTGCCTCGGTCTGCTCCTATTGCAGTCCCCCAACCAATAACTCTGTAGGTGGCTCCAGGGCATCTCTGGTAGTGGAGCATTTGTAGAGCTGCGTCCATGTTAGAACTAAGCTTGTGGGTTTTAAAATTATATCTGTTCTATCATTTTCAGGAATTTGGTTGAGGTTGGAAAGGTAGAGACTTGGCATGTTCTCCATCTGCCAACTCAAAATAGCACAATTCCTTAGGAAAATAATTTTGTACTCTTACAGCCTAGAGAAGCTCAGGTACATGTGTTAGCAGGATACATGTATGAGAATGTTCAAAGCAGCGTTGTTTGCAATAACTAAAACAGAGAAAAATCTCAGTATCCATCAACAGTAGAATGAATAAATAAATTGTGGTATAGTCACACAATGGAATACTGTAAAGCAGCATTATTCATTAGTAACGTAAGGCAAGCCACATATATAACCTTAACTTTTCAGGTAGCTATTTAAAAAGTAAAAGTAAAAAGAAACAGGTGAAATAAATGTTGATATACTTTTTAAACCCATATAATCAAAATATTATTTCAATGTGTAATCGCTATATACACTCCTACTGAGATATTCTATTTTATACTGTCTTCAAAACATACAACAAATTATTTCTACTTGTAATTAGTATAAAATTATTAATTAGGGAGTTTGCACTCTTTTTCCATACTAACTCTTTGGAATCTCAATTTGGTTGCTAAATTTTCATTAGAAATACTTAGTCTGGGGCCGGCCTGGTGGCACACTGGAGAGTGTGCTGCTTGGGAGCGCAGTGGCACTCCCGCTGAGGGTTCGGATCCCATGTGGAGACCGGTTCCCGCTCACTGGCTGAGCGCGGTGCGGGCACAACACCGAGGGTTGCGATCCCATTGCCGGTCAGTAAAAAAGACAAAAAGGAAAAAAAAAAAAAAAGAAATACTTAGTCTGTATTGAGATTTCATAAAATTTGCAGTTGAAAAAGTAGCATCATATACCCAAGTTGTTGCAAACGTATTAAACATTTTCTAATACCTGCATCAGGTATCAGTTTTTAAATTTAAAAATAATTAAAATTAATGAAATTAAAGGTTCAGTTCCTCAGTCACACTAGCCACTCTCAAGTACAAAGCACACGTAGCTAGTGGCTACCTTATTGGACATGCAGCACAGGCACTGAAATGAGCCAGTCTCAGCTACATGAAGCATCTTGAATTTACAAACAGAATGTTGAGTGAAAGAAGCAAGATAGAAAATAATACACATAATATTATTCCATTTATATAAAGTTCAAGGAGAGGCAAAACTAAGTTGTGCTGTCTCTGGCTGATATATAATAGACAAAACTACATTTGAAAAGCAAGGAAATTATTCTAAAAGTCAGGATAGTGGTTACCTTTCCAGGTCAGAGAGAGGGTTGTGATTGGAAAGGGGCATTCTGGGGGCTTCATGGGCACTAGCAGTGTTTTTTCTTGACATGATGGTGTTAACATGACTATTTTCGTTATCATTATTAAACTGAACAGTTATATGCATTTTATAGCTCTCAAAAAATAATAATGGGGAGGCAGGGAGTCAAATGGCATCACTTGCAGCCCTGACATAGTTCCATTTGGGGGTTCCATAATAAGGTTTGGGAAAAGAGAGGAGAAAACGGCAGTTCTGCCAAGCTTGGTACCACCCAGAGTTGGGTTCTAAAGAGTAGGTAGGTGTCGGGGTGGGGAGGGTGGAGATAGATGGACTAAAAAAGGAGAACAAGAAAAGGTTTGAATAAAAACAGAACAGACTTCAACATCTTGAAATTAAGTAAGAATTGGGGTATTTAGTTGGAACCATTGCCCTGGTTTCCTCCACATACAGGAGTTAGTCCTCTGTAGGAAATAGTTGTGGTTAGTTTGCATTTTGACTCAGGAATAACTTTTTTGTTTTCCAGAATTCTCAGTGAAAATCATTTGACTGAATTACATAAGGATTCATTTGAAGGCCTGCTCTCCCTCCAGCATTTGTAAGTTAGTTAATCGTATTTATTTATGAGTTTTTAGTTATGTAATCTATAAATGAATAAGGGGTTCAAATTAGATAATCTCTGAAGTTTCTTTCAGCAATAAAATTCTGCAATTCTGTAAGTCTGTGTAGGGTCTCAGCCCATCTCTAGCATTAACTATCTCCTATGTATTTTCAATTTGTTAAGTTATATAGACAAGATATAGATAGAAAAAAAACTTCACTTAAAGAACAAAAGTGGTAATAAGATCGGAGCAATTATTGACACGTGTGTGAACATTGTTTTATGAGTGTTAATATACCACCTTCTTGTATAGTCTGTGGTCCAAGGATCAAATTTGATCCACAGTCTGTTCTTACACAGCCCATAAATTGGGAATGGTTGCTACATTTTCAAAGGGCTGTAATAGAAAAAGAAAAGAAACAAGAAGAATATGTAACAGAGACTGTATGTGGTCCCCAAAGCCTAAAATATTTACTATCTTCCCTTTAAAAAAGGTCCAAAAAAGTTGGTTTAGGGCCGGCCCGGTGGCGCACTGGATAGTGCGCCGCTTGGGAAGCGCGGCAGCGCTCCCGCCCGGGGGTTCGGATCCCAGATGCAGACCGGTTCCCGCTCACTGGCTGAGCGAGGCGCGGGAGCAGCACTGAGNCATGAAGCATCTTGAGTTTACAAACAGAATGTTGAGTTAAAGAAGCAAGATAGAAAATAACACACATAATATTATTCCATTTATATAAAGTTCAAGGAGAGGCAAAACTAAATTGTGCTGTCTCTGGCTGATATATAATAGGTATAACTACATTCGAAAAGCAAGGAAATTATTCTAAAAGTCAGGATAGTGGTTACCTTTACAGGTCAGAGAGAGGGTTGTGATTGCAAAGGAGCATTCTGAAGGCTTCATGTGCACTAGCAGTGTTTTTTCTTGACATCATGGTGTTAACATGACTGTTTTCTTTATCATTATTAAACTGAACAGTGATATGCATTTTATAGCTCTCAAAAAATAATAATGGGGAGGCAGGCAGTCAAATGGCATCACTTGCAGCCCTGGCTTAGTTCCATGTGGAGGTTCCATAATAAGGTTTGGGAAAAGAGAGGAGAAAATGGCAGTTCTGCCAAGCTTGGTACCACCCAGAGCTGGGTTCCAACAAGGACTTAGTGATCTAGAGGGTAGGCATTAAATACACAATTTGGTGGGAAGAGTAGGTAGGTGTCGGGGTGGGGAGGGTGGAGACAGATGGACTCAAAAAGGAGAACGAGAAAAGGTTTGAATAAAAACAGAACAGACATCAACGTCTTGAAATTAAGTAAGAATTGGGGTATTTAGTTGGAACCATTGCCCTTGTTTCCTCCACATACAGGAGTTAGTCCTCTATAGCAAATAGTTCTGGTTAGTTTGCATTTTGACTCAGAAATAACTTTTTCATTTTCCAGAATTCTCAGTGATAATCATTTGACTGAATTACATAAGGATTCATTTGAAGGCCTGCTCTCCCTCCAGCATTTGTAAGTTAATCATATTTATTTATGAGTTTTTAGTTATGTAATCTATAAATGAATAAGGGGTTCAAATTAGATAATCTCTGACATTTCTTTCAGCCATAAAATTCTGTAATTCCAATTCTGTAAGTCTGTATAGGGTCTGAGTCCATCTCTAGCATTAACTATCTCCTATGTATTTTCAATTTGTTAAGTTATATAGACAAGATATAGATAGAAAAAAAACTTCACTTAAAGAACAAAAGTGGTAATAAGATCGGAGCAATTATTGACACGTGTGTGAACATTGTTTTATAAGTGTTCATATACCATCTGCTTGTATAGTCTGTGGTCCAAGGATCAAATTTGATCCACAGTCTGTTCTTACACAGCCCATAAATTGAGAATAGTTGCTACATTTTCAAAGGGCTGTAATAGAAAAAGAAAAGAAACAAGAAGAATATGTAACAGAGACTGTATGTGGCCCCCAAAGCCTAAAATATTTACTATCTTCCCTTTAAAAAAGGTCCAAAAAAGTTGGTTTAGGGGAATTAAATTTAACCTCAGATTGTTGCCTAAAGGAGAAGAAAATATAGACCTCCTACGTTAATTTGAATGCCATTAGCCCAGAATTTTATGATAGTTTAATCTAAATTAACATTTAAATATTAATTAACTAAAGAGATGAATTATGCAAGTAATATTAAGAATGGTGAAGGAACCAAGAAAACAGACTGATATTAACAATTTCAATGCAGGAATTATTATACTCATATTAAAAATAGATGTTTTTAAATGATGGTTAAATGGTATAGCTAGAAATGTTTACACTAAGTAAGGATATCAGAAATGCCCCTGACTCCTCACTAATTACAAAATAAAAATCTCTCCAGCCTTGTTGCCAAGGAGGGAATTCTTGTGTAGTATTTCTGTCTGTTTTGAGATAGTATGTTGTTTGCTGTGAAAGTTTGAATTTTATCCTTTCTCAATGGATCCAGAGGTGTGTATGTCATTAATTATTACTAAGCTAATTAATGATGCTCTTTAGCAAATAGATTCTTCTTTCAAATGTAGAAGGCTTAAGGGAAGATGGGTATAAAGAGCCTCATGTGACACTAAAAATAGTCTTTTGAACTATCAAACCTTCTATGCCTTACAAGGATGACCACTTTCATATTGGTCTTCTTGGGCACCTCTGCCATCTGGCCTCCCAAACCGCACACACACATTCTGGAGAAAAACAAATGAGAAAACTGCTCAGTGGAGTAGGCCCTTCATTACTTCTACTATGAAATACTTTGTTAAGCTCATTATCCCATGTTGGCATATGTATTCTAATTCATTAGAAAATATGCCAGTCAATAAATAAAATCTAAAAAGAATGTTATGCCAAGCACTGTGCCCACTATTGGAGACACAAAGATGAGAAAGACAGGGTCAGTACCTTCTAGGAAATCATGATCTCTCAGGGTAAAGAAACACATAAGCTCAAACCACAATACAGCAAGCACCAAGTGGTTGACAG